GAGACTGTAAGAAGATGCTATTGATACATCCAGAGTTATACCATTGGTTGTTTTGTAGTACAGAACTTGAGTATTGCCGAGAAAAAGACTTTTTGATTAAGCATTTTGTCTTGCACACATCAGAACAATTCACAAGAATACCAATAAATTGGAAAACAAATATTCATACTGTATGAGTGGAATGTGTTGGTGGTTGGCAATTAGACTCTGATTGATAGTTACATCAAGAATGCAGTTAATGGTGATTGTCAGATTACTGCCAGGCTTTGTTTAGATTTTTAACCAGGCGGGTTGACTGATTAGTCAGAGCACTGTCCTAAGAAATGAGGAAGCAAATGATTGTCACCCATTTTGTTCAGTAGAAACAGGCACAGCATCTGTTCCTATTTATTCTGTCTGCAAATAATCAGGTACTATGTATTAATACATGTAGTTCACAGTACACGTGTGTCATGTGGGCATTGTATATTACTATATCTAGATTCAAGCATACTTAAGGGCACCACACTGTGCATCCGACTGACAATCCTAAATTAGTTGTGTACATTGTTCTTCACACTCAATATTATCCAGCAAATATTCTCCAATTGCAGAATCACACCTAAATGATGGATACTATGTTGCAAGCATTGGAAATGCAGGCTGCTTTGGTCCAGACAGTACTTTGCTTGTTGCAAACTGCCAAAAGGATATGCTGATTGATATGATCAATCAATACCGGGATGTACAGCCTACATACCTAGCATCACACTGGCACCAAAATTCATATACCATATTATTCATCTGTGTGATAGGCAGAATGTCTTTTTGGCTTGATGACAGCATCATGTTAGTGGCAGTTGTGACATAAATTGTTCTCCCTGCTCCTGGCTCATAGGCAAACTGACATTTTTAACGTTTTTCTTCAATTTCCCTCCTTTTCAATTGACCTAGCCATGCCTTTTAATGTGTAAATGTAGGTACATGCTGTGTGGATGCCCTACTGGATTTTCCATTTTCTGAAATTAATCTTGTCAGTAGAATCTGAAAGTGGCTAACAGTTGCAAGTTCTCTGGTAATATCAAATTGGTATTCTGGTTCAGTCCACTTAACTCTACTTCTGCATTCCTCCTAAATCAAAAATTAAGTATATATGAAACTATGCCCAAAGGAGGCATTTTACAGCTTATCTTCAAATAGAAGGAAACTTATTAATAAATGCAAAACAGTCATTAATGACAAGATATGTCCTCCAATTCACATAATCTGCAATTCACATTGGGCAGAACCATAATGATTCAAGATGGGGAATTCTGCACTTGCTCAGATTTATTGGATTCATGTCAACTGAGTCACAGTTCTGAATCTAAATATTGATGTTTAAACCTAAGCTTTAGAGAAAGTTTCAGTGGCAGATATTAATTAATGTGGAGAACAACCATTTATGTAACGCCTTTACGAAAGAAAAGTGAGGCCACAACAGCTCACAAAAGTGAGATCAGGCAAAATGAATGTTAAAAGAAAGTATTAAAGTGGGGATAACCATCTTTTGCCAGAAAAAAACCTGGGTTTTAAAGGAAGGTATAACAGGAACTAAGCAAAGTCATAAAGCAAAATCAATAGTTCACAAAATAAATAATGGTCATACATTCAGAAACTTTATTCACTTCCTTTGGGTTCAGGTTATGCCAGGAATTTTTACCTGTACGGGAGGCTGTGCTGGGAATTCTAGACTATGAGTTTTTGGACCGAAAGCACCACCCCATCAAAGTGAAGATAAAAGCACAGAAAATAACCAAGAACTGACAGTTAAAGGAATAGTGATTTCTGGAACAGGTGCAGGAGGTTTAAGAAACAGAGATGCAAGGTCATAATGAAATTTAAACAGTATACATGGATTTTCTGAAGAAGGATCTAGGCCCGAAACGTCAGCTTTCCTGCTCCTCTGTTGCTGCTTGGCCTGCTGTGTTCATCCAGCTCTACACCTTGTTATCTCATATCCTACATGGGAACCAATACAGGTTGGCAAGGGCAAGAAGTGATGTTTGAGTTGGAATTAGTGAGGGATTGGATATTGATAGCAAAGTTTTGGATGAGTAGAAGTATTGAGAGTGGAGGAGGGAAGGCCAACTTGAAGAGCAGTGGCTTAGTCAAATCTGGAGTTGCAATGACAAGAATGAGGGTTTCAGCAGATGTAAGGCAAAGATGAATGATATTTTTTTAAAAAGTAGATGGTCTTTGAGCTTATTAATTTAGGTTACAGTCAAATAGGATGTTGATACCGAAGTTGGAGACTACGATTAGGGAAGATGAAGTCAGTAGCAAGGAGATGATATTTGTTGCTGACATAAAGATAGTGACTGCAGTCCTCATAGTTTAACTGGAAACAACTGCATCTCATCCATAGGTGTCAGATAAACAGGGGAGAATAAAGATTAATAGGAGAGGAAAAAGATTTGGGAAGCAATAACACATTCAAGAGTGCTTAAATGGCCAAAGTGATCCAGGGTTGTGTTTTTGAAATGAGGAATGATGACTGTTGCTTTGAGATCTGAAATGGAGAAGAACAGCAATTGACAAGAGGGAACTATTGACAATGTCAGTGGTAGAAAGGCTATGAAAGGGACATTAGCGATTTAAATGGGAATTGGGTCAGTAAGTCAGTCTCAGATGAGATCAGATCTTAAAGCTGAGTAGTGAGAGAAAATATATCTGGACCAACAATCCAAAGGCATAAACTAATAGATCAAAGAACATGTTCACTTCAATCATGTCTTAACAGTTAAATTCAGTGTAAAATAATCCTCTGAAAATAACCTGTAAAAGTGATTAGGATGTTGTCAAGTTCAACTTTCAATCAAAAGTTTGTTAAAATTTGCCTCATGAAAACTTATCAATCTTTCTCAGTATTCTCCCAACTGCAAAATAATTACAATGTCAGTTTAAACAGTTGTGTTCTGTTTTAGTGTTTGATCATGCTGTAGCTATTTATTGCAACTCCCATGAAAGTAAAACAAATAATGTGTTAAATAAATGAGTTATAAACCAGCTTTCGAAATGAAAACTCCAAAATTTTTAACAACTTAACACATACATTTTAACAGTTTTGGGTGCTTTCTACGCAATTTGTTTCACAAATGAACAAAGACAAAAGTAGTAACGTCAGTGGTCTTATAATACATTGAAACAACTTCCACACACTATAGATTAAAAACTTTGTCTAAAATTTTGACATTATATTTTAAATGTTGCTCAGTAGAACATTAAATTAAATTTTAATGATGAATAAATTAATTTGATCACGTGTTGATGCAGATTTTTAAACTGAATCCTACTATGATGATTTTTGCACTGTTATTTGTTAGCAATTCTAGTTATTACTACTCCCAATCTGACATATGATAAACAAGAGCAGCTCAATTTGCATTGATTATACTCAGACTTCCCTATGACAAATACTGCATCTAACAAAGCTAATAAAATTATCTAATAAAGATAATAACAACACTCAGTGAGTTTATGTTTACATCCAGTTTGACCTGCATTAGGGACAGTTGTGTAAGACTATGTCAACAAACACATTCAGGTAGAAACTGAAAGAACTGCGGATGCTGTAAATCAGAAACAAAAACAGAAGTTGTTGGAGTTCTGAGTAAGGGTCACCAGACCCAAAACGCTAACTCTGATTTCTCTTCACAAATGCTGCCAGACCTGCTGAGCTTTTCCAGCAACTTCTGTTTTTGTTACATTCGGGTAGATCCTATTCGTTGGGATGAATGATTCAGTAGATGAATGATCCATTTGAAGGACAAGGAAAGTTTTACAATACACCAAATCTAACCCACCCACTAACCTACCCTCTTGTCAATTTACATTGGAAACATTAGTTAGAGTGAATTGGAGGATACCATAACCTTAACTGTTCAGGATGTGGGGTGACAGGGCAGGATGAAGATAGTGAATGGGAACTGAGCAAATTTTAAATTAAAAGAACTTTAGACTGTTATTTCATTTCACGTTCAAAATTTGTTATTTTTGTTCAAGTGATATGGTGTTTGAAAATAGTAACATATAATCTAGTAACATATGACATTATTGATTATCATTTCTACAAATATGGAAATGAAATTTTATTTGAAAAGACACTAAATGGAAATAAAATTGCATCACCTCACTTCTTCAAAACCAAAAAGACAGTAGTGTAGGTACACAATTATGGCAGTTTTAGTATCAGTATATTAATTTTCAAAATAATTGTCAGTATTATCTTCCCAGTCTTATTCTTCCTAAGTATGACACTACAATTTATCTTTTATCTCATTGCAATTGTAACAAATATATGCACAATTCAAATATTAAGTTAGTAATTAGGACTCAATACTCATCTTCATAATTTAAATATAAGATTCAAAATTCTAAAACAAAAGCCTCTAAGACTTATCCAACTGATCCCCGTGTATATTTTCACAATTGGCGCAAACATGAAAAATTACTAAGATTTGGTGTAATCTGTGGGAAATAAAACCATTATGACATCTAGCGCTACTTTACAGAAAAATAAAGAATAAATCAGTTTTTAAAAACTAGATATAGCGCTTTATCTTTCAAACTATCCGCAGATGATATCGCCTTACCATTTGCAGAAATCTATAAAGATAAATCAAGATTTAATTTAAAGAAGTCCACGCAGTTCTTGGTGTTGCACAAGTTGATCAGCACGTTGTTTATGTTTAGCTTGGTGTCACAAATAGAAGCAAAAGAGTACACCGATAGCTGCCGATTTCTCGCCACTTCGCAATGCTTCATCCTCGCTTCCGTCACCGCTAGATACAATGTGATTTTAAGTTTAATTATTAAGTAACAATATTAAATCATGATTTGTTTAGCTCCTTTCCGTGTAACTTTTCTTTCTTTATTCCAACGTAATTTCATGCACATATACACGTGTGCTTGTTTGAAAATTAAAATGGATAACACTCTGGTGTTGTTTTAATACGTTTTTCGTTATGTTGTGGTTAGCGTAATTATTAACTGCACCGGCAGGAATTCATTTATTGGCTTAAAGTGCTTTCGAGTTCTAGCGGGGATAAAGGGATCGAATAAAGATTCGTCCTTTTAAAAAGTGTCACATTTTCTTCTATTAAGAACAAAAATACAAAAGTTCAACATCATGCTTTTTTTTGTAGAATCTACTAGCGATGTACTTAAACTATTAAAAAAATCATAACTGTTGAAAATGGCGGCGGGAAGGAGAGCGAGGATCCATCAGAAAAAAAAGTTTTTAAAAAACTCATTTATGTCTGGCTCCAAAAAAAATCTACTTTTACTGTTGCCTGGAAAAGTGGGAAAAGAAAAGTGTTGCTGCTGAGTGCCTCCTTCAGATGTTACGTAACCGTAAGTTACAGATTTGTTTGAAATTGGATTTAATTCAATAAGATCATTTTTCCTTCCAAGTAGAATCTGTCAGTTTTAAACTTGGTGTTCCTTTTCCACTGTCTTCACTCAAAACTAGCGCTCAAGAAATGAATGCTTATATATTGCTTATGAAAAATTGAATAACTTCAATTTTTTTAAAAAATAACTAATTGCATAATTAAGTAAATTCCTAATATCTCCGAGCATCCTTATCCTTTTCAGTATCCTACTTTTCAAATTGTTTCAATTGCTCCCTTCGCACAAAAGCGACAACTAAAATATATTCAGGTTTTATGTTAATTTATTTAAATCTGCTGTCAAACTTGAACTTGACTTTTACTTGTTTTGAAGTGGGGAGGGGAGGAAAGGTGTAAATTTAGAGAGCGGTTAATTCGGTTAGATCTCCCAAGGAGGTGAGACAAATGTGTGCTTAGTTTTAAACTTCTACATGGAAGCTAGGATTTGAGAAATATGGGGGAGGGGCTGCTCCTTTTGGTCTAAGAGACATCAGAGTTTACTCGCCGCCATTTTGTAGCCCAGAGCAGCTTCTTTCTGCCTTCCCCACTCACCTGGGAAACGGAAGCGGAAATGGGCTCATCTGGCGCTGCTAACCAATAGAGTGAGGTAGCGTCAGCCAGCGCTTGCGCCGTTTGTGGGCCTGCGCGTGAGCCGCGGGTTCCGGGATTATGTGACTACAAATTTCAACAGTCACCTGTACAAATATGTCGGAACACAATAACTATTACCATGACAGTGCGGTATCTTTCAGAAACACTGCAGATTGCTTTCTCCGTGTCGACTCCACATTATTAATATCTTATTTACAAACCATAACCAGAACTTCTTTCTACTTTAACTTTCCTTTTTAAAATGTTTTAATTTAACACACTCAGTCTTGCTTATTTTTGTCAAGCTCCGCAATAGCGCATTCCAAAACAAACCATGTTATTACACTATCAATTCACCATCCCGTCCCACTTATATCCTTTTCTCAAATATATGAATAATTGCTTGGTAGTGCAAAACGTGAAAACGTTGCCAAAAGAAGATCAAGTTTTGTTCCTAGCCCAGATGAGTGCAAGATGGAAAGCTTTAACTTCTTGTCTCCTAGAAATGTTTAAATCCTGTTTGTCGCTCCAATTCTGCATCTGCCCCCGTAATGCCTTTCTTTTGGTACAACTGAAGTCATCCATCTTTAGATCACTTTGAATTACATCTTCTGCTACCCTGTATCCTACCACTCAGGCCTATATTAGCATCCCACTTCATATTAATTTTGTTTGCATCTCTTTCATGGTCAGGCCATTCAAACCAACGTAACAAACATCAAGCTGCTCTTGTCATTAACGGAAAAGTTCAAACCAAACACTTGCTATCATTACATTCTCACATACACACATACATCAATCACTCTAGTTCAGCATTACTTGTATCCAAAACCACAGCCTTGCAAGCTAAACAAATAAACACTTGAATAGATTTTTTTCAAGTTTGCCTTCTGGATTTTCTTTAATTTGATACAATGTCGAAGTTACGTAAAAATACTTTAGTACTTTGTCTAAATAGCCATGTTGGTCATATGGTGCATTCCAAGACATTCGCTAAAATCTGCATTCAGCTAACAGAAATATAGTTCTGAGCAAAAATATCAAGTTCAAACTCATCTTTCGAAGAGACTTTGGCCTGAAGTGAAAACTTTAAGGAATGCATTAAAAGAGAGAAAATATAACTCAGTTGATCCTTTCTTTTAATATTTCAGTGAGAAATATGTATTTTAAAGCCTTACCTTGGACACCCAGAAATTCAATTACCAGGAAAAATTGGTGGGAAAGTTTTCCAAAAGGCATTGAGTGATTTTTTGGAAACAATACTACAGGACCCATGGTAGAGCAATAGGAGGCCTTAACATAAAATAATGAAATATCTATTAGAATGCAACCTGCTGGCATCACAGGGAAACATACAGACAAACATGTTTCGATGTGAGAATCTCCAGAAGAAATGTTTACATGTAATTTCCAATAGAATGTATGACCCTTGTGATTTGCAATATTTATTATCTATTGAAATCAGTATATACGTGTGCACATCTATGTTTTTTTCATTATATGAATGTACAAATTTATAATGGAAATTGCCTATGTAAACAAATCACAATGTGGTTATATTCAGGAGTGCAATAGTGCCTTAGTTGTTGCTCAGCCTGTACTACAAAAACAGTGCTGCAATTACACTTCTTGCCTGTGAAGGTGCTGATGTGACTCCAGTGGTAAGAATGTAATTATAATGTGACAAAATTGCAAAGGTAGCTTGGATAACTGATGTAAATGGGAATTTGCTTTGTAAAAAAAGTTGAAAGTGCAAACATAGGATGTTATGTATTGTTGTATCTGGCATGTGTTCATCATTCTGCCTACATAATTTACAGCAGATGAAATGCATCTTAAATAGGGAAAGAAACCTGGATTCTTCTGATCTGGAAACATGTGCCCAGAGTATGCAATATTACCGTGACATCAATACTGTATGTAGTCCATATTCAGCAGAATGTTCAGTTTAAAGAGTACCATACAGTGTTATATAGCTGGAAGTGAGCAGATATGCTACTTGCATCTGCTTGGGAGTTCTTTTTGTAAAATCATTTTGAGTGGTATTCATTGTAGCAAATGAGTAAATCTGTACAAGTGATCCACAGGTAAATTGCAAGTATTCACTTCTCTATAAGGTGTAAAAACATTTAATTTTTGTAACACCAGACAATGGATGAATCCTTTGTGCACATGTGGAATCCCACTTGCGTTATTCAAAAGATGGAATTTCAGATAAAATGTTCAGCAAATGTACACTATAGAATTCAACATGTAAATTGTATAGCAAATACAAACATACAAAACTTGGAGCAGAACTAGGTGATGCAATCCCTTGAGCATGCTCCACCGTTTAACAAAATCAAGGCTGATCTCTGTTTCAAATTTTACATTCACATCTACCCTAACTTCTCTTGCATAACAAAAATCTATCTACATTCACCTTAAAAACATTCATGACCCTGCCTAAACTACCTTCTGTGAAATCATTTCTCTTTATCCACAAAAGTACTATGCCTTCACTCTCCTCATCTAAGTAATTGATATAATTTGGAAAAAACTAAAACCCCTGAACTGTGGTAATCCATTTAACATATCCTGCTAATCAGAACAAGACCTACTTACACATACTCTGTTTTCTACCAGCCTTCCAATCTATCCATGCTACTGTGTTATCCACTACATTATATGTTTCTGCTTAGTGTAATCACCTTTTCATATGGCATCTTGTCAAATGCCTTCTGAAAATTCAAGTACAGTGTGTCTACAGACTCCCCTTTATCTATAATACATGTAACTGGATGTTGTTTTGATAAACAATATTAACATCTATTAGATTACCTAAATGAAAGTGATCACAGTTTACATAATAAGACATAATGCACAATCAAATACTCATAACAAGCAGATATGTGGACATATATGAAGATATATTCGATATAATATGTATTTGTCACAATATTGCAAAACCAAAATAGAGACAGGTTAGGGAATTCCATGGTTGCAAATTGCTAATTTTAGCAATCTTGCATCTGAATCATAAGATGATAGGTCCAGCTGAAATCCAAAGATTTGAACACACAACCTGGGCTGATACCAATATAGCGCTGAAAGAGTGCTGTGCTGTTGGAGCTGTCATCTCTGAGGTATTAATCTATGGCTGTTGGTTCTTTCAGATGGACATAAATGATCCCAGGGCACTATTAGAAGATGATTACAATATTATGTAATCCGTAGTCAATGTCACTAAACAGATTAGCTAATCATTTTATTAATTGTTGTGTTTGGGACATTGCTTTGAAAATTGAGTACTATATTTCTCTACAGTTGAAGAGTGGCTAATTTCAAAAGTTCATTATTGGTTGTAAATCCTGGAGTAATGAAAGGTGTTATATAGTATTAGTTCTTTCTATTATCGATTGTGGGTATATGCACAAAAAAGACTTGTACTATAATGATGAGTATGGTAGTCTCTACAAGCAAAACTACAAGCTGTTATGAGTAAATCTGTACAAGTGATCTATTGGTAAATTGTCAGAAATAAATGAAACCCTTGAGACAATTCTATGCACACATGAGATTGCAGACAAATCTGCACACAGTTGAACTCCACAGCCAGTTCTCACACAATTCACTGCAGGCAAATATTCGGACATTGAATTATACAAGTACAAATTCAACTATGGAGGAAAATCCCATATACACAAGTACACAGGAAGAATCCACACACTGAACTTCATGCAGATCTGCACAATCTCAGCTGTACAGATAAATGCATACACCCTCAGATGATCATGCTTTTCATGTACATACATTGTATATGCAGTTGTATGCACACAGGATTGCAAAGCTATTCGTGTATACGTAATGCGCATCTTTCTACAGACGCTTTGTTACATAGACGAATCTATAGACATTAATGATTGCAAGAAAATGTATACTTACGGCCAAATGTAACATATGCAGATAGATCACTGACACTGAACTGCATAAGAAAATCTTTATAACATTGAGGGAAGTGTGCGTACATTCGACCCTGCATCAAAATCTGCATGCACTCTAAGGTGGAATGTGCACTCTTTTCAATACGTAGGAACTCTGGTCCATCTTGGAGCAAGTTACGACGTACATTTAACAAAATTTTTTTTCTGTTTGTGAAAATATCTTATTTTCCCAAAAATTAATGTAATACTCCGTTGGTTATGGAGAATTTCAGTCTTGTAATATTTGATTTAGCAGACTAGCCATTCCGTGCTGCATTTATACTGCAGCGACTAGTCTTGTATCTGGATACGCATGCTCAGGGCTCCTCGCCCGGTTGGTAACATTTTAAATGTTGGGGTTAATAACAGCGGCAGCATCTGCTGTATCCAAAATTCAAAAAACAGCGTT